GTGCTGCCAACACACAAACAAACTCCGCGAGAGTTCAAATTAATCTATTGGATATTTCAAACTAGACAAATCCTGAAAGTAAATGCATTTGAAACTGCCTCAAGAAATGTCAATGTTTGAACAAACTCGCATTTCGTCATTGGTGCAGCCGTTTCGTAGTTCATTGAGTGAGTTAGACACAGACAGACTCAGGAGACGGAGACAACGCCCGACCCCTCAGCGACTTGAACTGAGCTTCGCTCAGCGATTACATCGCTCGTTTGCAATAACTTTCCGCGACATTTATGGTTACGAATAAGACTAATTTTGAGTCATTTTCGCCAACGGCGCTCGTTTAGGGTCGTTTCTGCGACATTTTCTGTTACGAAGAAGACTCATGTTGAGTCATTTCGCAGAAATCGCTCTCACAGAGCGATGACGCCTATACGTCGCTCTCTTCAGGAAAGAAAGGTCACTCTTCGTTATACAGTGTGCATTATGGCGGGGCGCTAGAAAAAGGGTTTTGAAATTGAGAACGCAACAGTGCGAAAACGTTGCCCTATCCGATGACGGATCCAACCCAAGTTTAAATCTTGAAATCGGTTAACATTTTCTGATCCCGCAAAACGTTCAAAGTTTCACATGGCGCTCCTGAGGCAAAGAGGCTATGAAGTAAAATTTTCCGATTTCGGCTTTCCAGCGAACATTTTTCAAAACTGAATTTCGGGAATGCAAACTACAAAAAAAAAGGCGTCTGATGATGTGCCTTTACACTTGCACTTACACGCATCCTGTAACTCACGGGCCAAAGGATCTCAGAACTGCCCACAGTTTGTAAGCGAGACGGTGAAGGTAACACTACCCTATCATCGAGCAACTGCTGTTAACAGATAAATTAATCTAGTAAGAAATTATGAGTGAACTCTTCAAAGTAAAACCCCGGTGAGCAGGATTTCTGACTTTTGAAGGCGGAGGCCTATTTACGACGCTTTATTTTGCCCCACTCGAGTGTCAGCGCCGCAGGCCTAGCTGTATGTGCGCCAGGCGCGTCGCAGCGGAACAGTGTTTCGTGAGATATCGCGAAGCCTGTTACGCGAGACGTGGTCTGGCGTACATATAGCTAGTTGGCTGAGCGATTAGCGAAGCCTATTACTCCAGTGATGATCAAATAGTATCGCGTCTGTCTGTCTGTCATCACGTTAACTCGAGAACAAATTGAGCTAGCGACCTGGGATTTTCAGGGTCGTTTTGTGTCATAAAAAGACAGATCGAGTTTGAAGATGAGCATTCTAGCTCAAAAATTGGCTTTTTAAAAAATCAAAAACCACAGGTCCCACAAATAATGTTTTTTTTAAAAAAAAAAAAAAAAAATACCCGGTTTCAAAGGGGTAACTCAGCAAAGTAGAGCCCTTTGGGCGAAAATTTCGTCCGTTTGGCTCTATCTTTAACCATTTAGGCGCCACAGGGAGTTTAGCCTTTCACGGCTATACGGACATGAGCCCACCCGGAGTTGAGCCCGGGCCACTGTAGGCCCAAGCAGTGTCCGATATGAGCCTAGCTGGACGTAGCCAGGACCAAAGCTGACGAGTCAGTCTCGGATCTAAGCTCATATCGGGCATTGGTCGGGCCTACAGTGGTCCGGGCTCAAGTCCGTATAGCCTTGTTCACGAAAATAAGCGAAAAAATGTTTAACCCTGCATACTGCGTCGAAGTGACGGGAATTTGACGGGCCGCAGGCCAGTATCTTTGTTGGCTGAGCGATTAGCGAAGACCATTACTTCACTGACCGAAAAAGTTTCATTCTATTTGTGTGTTTGTTTGTGTGTTTGTCTGTCTGTCCGCACGATAACTCGAGAATGGATTGAGATAGCGATCTGGGAATTTTAGGGTCGTTTTGTTTCAGAAAAAGACAGATCGAGTTCGAAGATGAGCAGTGTAGCTCAAAAATTGACTTTTTAAAAAATCAAAAACCGCAGGTCGCAAAATATTTTTTTTTATTTTTGGCTGAGCGATTAGCGAAGCCTATTACTCCAGTGATAATCAAAAAGTTTCGCGTCTGTCTGTCTGTCTGTCATCACGATAACTCGAGAACGAATTGAGCATGCGACCTGGGATTTTCAGGGTCTTTTTGTATCATAAAAAGACAGATCAAGTTCGAAGAAGAGCATTCTAGCTCAAAAATTGGATTTTTTAAAAATCAAAAACCACAGGTCCCACAAATAATGTTTAAAAAATTTTTTTTACAGTTTCCTAAGGGGGACCTCGTCAAAGTAGAGCCCTTTGGGCGTAAATTTCGTCCGTTTGGCTCTATCTTTAACCAATAAGGCGCCACAGGGAGTTTTTGACTAAAATAACCGAAAAAATGTACAACCCTGCATACTTAGTCGAAGTGACGGGAAGTAAACGGGCCGGAGGCCCGTATCTTTGTGTACATTTTAGCGCTTCCCGACTCGGGTGTCAGCGCCGCAGGCCTAGGTAGATGTATGCCAGGCGCGTCGCAGCGTAACGACCAGGAACTCAATAGAAACCAACTTTCAGGTAAATAAAAAAAAGAGAGAGATTTTTCTGTTTTTTCTGATGAATATTGGGAAGGAGGGGTCGAATTTCCAAAGCAAAATTATTGATGCTGATGGTTTAGCCGCAAGTAATGCTGTGAAGTTTGATGGTAAGTAATTCTTTTTCTTTATTATCTATCATGAAAACTATTTGTTGTGACATTAATTGATTTTATTTGTTTTCAGCAACCAAGCACATCGTTGACTTTGATGCGAAGTTACCAGAATCAGATGCATCGCCAATGAAGAAGCAGAAATCAATGTAAAGCAAGTGTGCGGTGTATATAGGTTTTGTAAGGTTGTACATTTGTACAACAAGTGATTGTTTTCTTTCATGTTAAGTCTTTTTGTTTTGTTTTTGTAAACCATTAGTAATTTGGTTAGTAGCATGTTCCTTCATTGTATGTTACTTAATGTTGTAGATGTTCTACGTATTCTATGAATAAAAAAATATTGAACATTGATTTCTACTAATTGATTCACATGGACTTGAACTTTTTCAAAGACTTCTGGTGATAAATAACAAAAAAACAAAAGAATTACTTATGAAAACACACAGCAGAGCAGCATCACACAAACAATTGCAATTTATTTTTAAAGTCTTTTTTTTTTTTATTCCATTGATTTATTTGCTCAACACCATGGCCTGCCATAGCCTAGTAAATGCGATTGCTTGTGATTGCAGGCGGGCACAAGAATATCAAGGATCCGCTGCCGGCTTCCCAGCGCCGCAACCACGCCATGATTGAGCGGATCGTCGGCCAGCACGACGTGTACGCATGGCTGAGGGCCGCCTCTTCAGTACTTGAGGGGCATAAGCTACCGGCTGAAGGTCAACACAACACGCATGCACCAAGAGAGTGATAATGAAGATCAATGAATTACCCTACGCTTAAGAAATAAAACATCTCAACATCCCCCGCAATATTTAAAATAGTGGACACATTAGTAAATTGGACACGAAAATATTGGACATTTTTGAATGGACAAAGTTGTATGGACAATGGAAAAATGGGGCAAAAATGAGTAGGGGAGAGTGGGGCACCTGGAGACAGTCGTGATATCTCGAAATGTTTGAATTTTCGCGCCATTGCGTCCTGACTGGAAGATGGCAAATGGTCCGAAAACCTCTTTCAGAAAGGACGGTGGTTGTCATCGAAGCGGTTGTGGAGTCCTTGGCTGTCAAACTTTATGTCTCCCCAAAACACGTAAAAGTAAAAATTTGATTTTTAGGCAGTCGTTTATCGACTGACTTTTACATTTGGTCAGAAGCAAGCCAGCCTTTTCCAGTTAAAGTACAAGCCAGCCAGCGCCCAGCCCCAGCCCAGCTAGTATATATGGGCGTGTGTGCGGGTTTGGTGTGGCATGTGTTTCTTTAAAGCGAATTGGTCAGTAAGAATTGTCCCAAAAATTAGATAAAAATATCAACGGGTTCTGTGATTTGTGAGCTTTCAAATGGCTCAAAAACATGTTGAGTCAGATCACAGGGGTTGTGATACCCAGCGTCATAACTTCGATGTGTCTCGCGGGGCACGTAGAGACAATTTTTGTGGGGCACCTGGAGACACCTTAATTTATGTCCGAATGTTTTTAAAATCACGTGATGATCAAAAACTAATGCCAAAAAATGTTTACAGAAATGGTCCGCAACTACAAACCTATGACAGACAGGGGTAAATTTGGAGAGGGCAAGATGAAGGCAGCCATAGAAGCAGTAAAGGGAGGCCTTTCATTGAGAAATGAAATTTTGAAATTTTATGTTGCCTTTAATTTAAGTATGTGACAAGATGTTACATTTAAATGTGCTAAAACTATAAGCAGGTGATATTTTGACTTTTATTTTGACTTTACTGTGAGTAGCATACCTAACAAAATGTTACTTGTAATTACCAAGGCAGAATTGGGCCATTCTTTTAGTGATATGGGGGAGGAAGGGGAGGGTGTGGGACATGCTATTTTGGCAATAAACTGCACTATTTTTAGTTGCTAGAGTAAAATTTGTTGGCTGTCTCCAAGTGCCCCACGGTTGTCTCCAGGTGCATCAGGGGTAGGGCACCTGGAGACATAGTGCATCCGGCACTCAACACACCACCATACCTAAACCGTTCAAAATTTTCCAACAAACAAAACTGATCCAGTTACTGCTAAGTTAGGGCTTTCACCTCGTCTCTCAAACGCGATCCTAACTTTAAAATCCACTGAGCAGTAAGTGAAAATGGGCGAAATGTCTCCAGGTGCCCCACCCTCCCCTAGGACGGAAAGGTGTGGACGAAAGTGTCATGGATGAAACGTCGTAAAACCAAATGTGTGGGGTACACCGTTATTCCGAATGCGGACAAGTCCTTAACTTCAAATAACAATCATCCCGTTACGGTTTGGACAGTATTTGGAACATATTGTGGGGGTCGTAAGGATTCCGTTCTCAGCCCACAGAATTTTTAAAAGGGTAGTAAAAAGTAATATATGTACGAAATCCAAAGTTTTATTGTTGGCACAAAATTTTTAACAGCATTTTTCTTTTCATTGGGCAAGCACTTGAATAATTATTATGTCTCTTCTGTGCTACACATACTATACATTTAAAAATATATGCTGTTTTGAAGGTAATCATACCTCGCCGGATTACATACTTGTAAAACAAACATAGGTAGGTATATTGATTTTGTATGTTTCTCACACTTTCTCATTCGTAATCTGAGGTACTTCACAATCTCAAATCAAGTTCAATTTATATCAAAACCATGGATTTCATCCTAAAACCACATTTCATTCATTTTTCATCACAAAATTATAACATATTTACTCTACAACGAAATCTTACTCAGGTGTCATACATATCTACTTACTTCAGAACAATCAGTCAAAGCACTCTAACAGCATAACAAAATCAGGTCACCGAAGACATTTACTTTACTTTTGCTGCTACTGCCGCCGCCGCTGCGCCGCCGATTGTGATAGAAAACAAGCTGTATTTTTGAGTATGTTTAATCGTTTTGAGAGTACAATATCAAACCCAAGTAGCAGAGATTTGTCATCAATACGTCAATATGACATCAAATTTTGATCAATTTTATTTTAGTCACTATGACGTTTTTTCCATTGAAGAACATGACCATTTTTTGATGTCAAAATGACATCATAGTGATAAGACGGAATTTTTAAGCAAATAATATTGCTGGCCCTTTTGCCGGCCCTTGACGCACTCTGCTTGATTGTCTCTATCTACTCTCTCAGCTTTGCACCGCCAGAATTTGACATGAAATGTTATCTGCAAGTGGGATTCGAACCCACGACCTTTCAATCCCAGCAGTGACTTGCTAACCCATGAGCCACATATGGATCTGAATAGCATTGGCTTACGTACTCCTAGTGGTTTAATTTAAACCCATGTTTACATTAGCTGATATCGTAAATGACGTAAACATTACAGTTTCTATCATTGTGCAAAACAGTCAAAAATTTGTCAGTTTTTAGTCTTGGTCAATAATTTGTCCATTCCATGTCACATTGTGGCTGCTGTGACCTGTTTGATAAAAATTAGGTCAATATTATGTCAATTTGATGTATTCTTGACTAATCTCTGTAACTTGGGAAAGCAGACAGGAGACAAAGTAGAACTTTTTGGATTGTTCATGGGAGAAATAAAGATAAAAGAGGACAGTCAAGGATGAGTTACCAGAAACCAAAGCTGCTAAAATTGAGTTCGATTTCTATTTGCAAAAATGCCTTGAGTCAGGCGTCAAGGGCCCCTATGGTTCACTGAACAAAACTTAGAGAAGGAACAGCAGCCAACAGGCAGAATCATAAGAAACACAAGTGCGTACCTATCTACATGTTGCATACATGTTATAGAAACTTTTAAGGATGTAAGGGATTCAATAAAATAATAAGTGTATTTTACACGAATTTTAAATACTTAATATTAAATACTTACTCTACATTTATATGTAGTATATACATTCAAGAGACATTTAAATTATTGTATGCTCAATTTGTTTGGCAAATTCAAGATAGATTTTATGTACCCTATTTTATGTATATGTACTCTACAGAGGCACCGATCCAGCGATATCCATCTGTTTTTGTCTTATTGCAAAACACAAAATATATCACATTTATTTATGTTTCTGATTACACATTTCAAAATATTCTAATTTTTGATCACAATTATTGAACAAAATTAATTACTTGCCCCCACTTTGGACTACCTCAAACACTGCTCAAAGGTCATATTAAGATTCCTAGTATCGTAGAAAAGCTTAGAGAACAACATAAACACTTGCAAAGTTTTGAGACTGGCTGATATATTTAAGGTTGAAGTGGTTGACAAAAAATAAGGACGGAGAGACAGATTAAGATTTTGAAAAATACCAGACTATAGAAGAAAACTGCTCCATTAAACAATGACTTTGGATAAGGAATATGATACGGAAAAATTCTAAACTAAACATGGACAAAATGTTTCTCTTCAAAACTAAAAGTTTTAGATTTTCGTGTTACGTGTTACTATACTCTTGGCATGGTCTTGATGCTGGATTGTATACACATTTTTTACTGTCCAGTGGAATTAATAGTAAGCCCTATGTGAACACAACGTGTGTGTGATAGTTCGAAATAAGTATTTAATTGCAAGACTGGAGTATAGCAATAATCATTGTTCTAAGGGGAAAACCCACAGCATTTTGGTCCCAAAACCAGTGAACTGTCAACGAAGCATTCTGGAAGCATATTGCTAATAAACTCATATTTCCGGACAATTCAACTGTTACACAGGTAGAGAAAACAAGGAGCATTGTGGGTGAGATGAGTAGTGGATAAAGGAGGGTACTAGGTTGAGGGAGGAGGGAGCTAAGTAAGGCATTTAAGAAAATAAAGAAGAAAAAACAGTATACCCGACGTGACTTAAGTTGTTTACCACCCAGATCAAAAGTCAGCCTTTGGTATGCGGAAAGCTGGGCGATGGAGGCTGGTTTTCACAAGATTTCGAATATCTGCCATCTTGTGCATCCTACTCGAGACCGCCTGTGCGCAGTGCTGTGGGGCCGCGGCTGTGGGAGGCGCAGGTGGGGCGGGTGGCGGCGCAGGAGAGTACTCGCCCATGGCCCAGAGCTGGAAGTGCTGCTGCGCAGGCGCGTGCCCGTTGCCGCACGTGGAGAAGGTGGTGTCGCAGACCGACTCTTCGACCGCCTCGATCCGCTTCAGTTTATTTCTCGGTGGTGGCGGCGGCCTCAGGACCGATGTGGCGCCCGGGGCCGGCGCGCTGGCGCAGCTCGCGGCCCCAGCCAACATGGACAAGCACTCGGGGCCGCCGGCCGCCGCACCGGACACGATGCAAATCCCGCTGTCACCGCTGACTGTGCTGTTGTCAGCCTGCTCGATGCTCGCCGACGACAAGCCGGCCGAGAGGGATGTCACTGTGTAGCCGCCGTCCACGATGATGTTGTCGAACTGTGGACAGGGCGAAGGGAACACCTTACAGACACAATAGGGGTGGGTCGGGGTTGTGTTTGAGTAGGCGGGCCGGACACTCACCTGAAATATGTTGCCATCCATCTTGAGCGAGCTGCGCCTGCAGGTGCTGCTGCTGCAGAGGCTGGAGCGGCGTGGCGGCGTGGGCGGCGGGGCGTGGTGGTGATGGGCCGACAGCCGGCGCAGCGCCGCGGCGATGGCCGGGGGCGGCGCGGGCGCCTCTTGCGAGGGCGACAGCTGGTCCTCGTCCTCCTCCTCCAGGCTGTCCCGGTGCAGCAGGCGCCTCCGGGACGCCGCGAGGCTGTCGCGCTCCCGGTCGAGAGGCGTGAGCGGCGGCGGCGAGCCGTCGTCGTCGAGGTGGCCGGTGGCGTTAACGTGCCGCGGCGTCTCCTGGTCGCTGCCGCTGTCCCCGGAGGCCCCGGAGCTGCCCAGGCGTCGGCGCCCGCTCCGACCCTTATCCTGCTGTAGCTGGTCGGACTGAAGCAGTGGGCGGCCGCTGCCCGAGGACGAGTCCGAGTTCTGCCGTATGCAGGTCTGCGAGCGGCCGCGCTGCAAGTTGTATTGGTTGTACTGCGCGGGGTACTTGTAGGCCAGCCTGACCAGGCCGCTGCCACCGCCATTGCTGCCCGTCATGGGCCCCGGGGACTCGCCCGCGCTGCACAGACTGTCCGCGGTGAGGGGCGTGTCCGTGCCCACGGGGCCCAGCGCGCCCAGCGCGGAGGGGCCGTGGTAGCCGGACAGCCCCGCGGGGCCCAACGCCCCCAGCGGGCCGCCGAGGTCGACGCTCACTCCCGCCGCCGTGGGCAGGTGGAAGCTTTGCACCGACATGCTGTCACAGTGCGACGACTGCTGCCGGAGCGGGTGGGCTGGGTGGGATGAGGCCTCCATCGATTTACTGCAACGGAACGTACCGGCGCCATTAGTATACTGATGCATGCACCTCTAGGAAAAGAAAATAATGTGATTTTAAGACTAGGAGGCCTACGAAAAGTCTCCTAAAAAACCTCTCCTAAAAAAACCTAACCTTTTTCTAACACTGAAAATACAGGAGTCACGCTAATTTCGTTTTTCCTGAGAGAGCGAGGCTTATTAATTTGAATGGCCGATGGCCACCGTCCCTTAAGAGGGGAGATGATCCAAAACCATTACTCCGATGAGCGACAAAATTCCGTCACTCTTCTTACACTAGACACACCACACACCATCCCACTAGTTGAGTAAAGCCAGCTGTTTTAAGTTTCAAAATATCAATTGACGAATTTTCTAGTTCACCCTAATGTGTCTGAACTGCAAAATTAAGCACTTGGTTTTCGAGAAAGTGCTAATTTCACTCCATGCAAGGTCCTCTAGCACCTGATAGGCAGGCAACATCTTGCCTATAGCGCATGCGTGTACTGCGGAGAGGCCGACCCAGAGTCTCGCAGGCAGGCGCCGAGCTCTCGCAATTTGCGGTTCTGTTCCACGATAAGGCTGAGCCCTCACCTGTAGCACGAGTCAGACCGGCCGTAGCTGTGGCCGTGCCCGGGGCTGTCCTGCGGCGCCCGGGGGATGTTGAGGTGCAGCAGGCGCGCCACGAGCTTCTTGGCCTCGAGCCGCACCTCCTCGTTGCGCAGCACGTAGATCCAGGGCGAGACGCACGAGTTGACGTGCGCCAGCAGCAGCACGATGGCGGGCGTCTGCCGCTGCAGCACCACGAACACAAAGTAGGGCGTCCAGCAGGTGAGGTACGCGCCCACCACGAAGAGGGCCGTCTTGACGGCGCGGCCCTCCTCTCGCAGCAGCAGCGTCGAGAAGCTCGCGTTGGAGCAGCGCCGCTTGTTGTTGAGCACGATGGAGCCCAGGGGTGGGTTGCGCCCCGGCCGACGGGGGACCTCCCTGGAAACGAGCGAGGGTGAGCACAACGTCAGACCAAACGTATTTATTATTATGAAACGCCATGCGCAACCGACGACGTCACGTTCGTGTGTAAATGAGTGCGCACCCCTTGTGCTCGGGCGTGCCGGTGTTGAAGGGCGGCAGGCTGAGGTCCAGGGAGCCGCCCCGCGACCCGGACCCCGCGTCCAGAGACATCTGGCCGCCGTTGGCGCTCTGCGTGGACGTGCACACGCTGTGGCGACGGGTGCGCTTGCTGTTTTGGTGCGCCGCCAGCGACATTTGAATGTACATGTAGACGATGATGTAGAGCGGGAGCGCGAAGCCTGTGCGGACACAAAAAGAGAGATTTTCATTTGTTAGGCGCGCACGAGGAAAGCGAAGTGTAGCGCCTACCGACTGTGCCCATTAACAAGAGCTTTCCTATTGAGTATGTCAAAGCCGGAGTGATGTTTGAGTAAAGGAAAGCCGAGGAAAGCTCATTGACTTGACGGCCTAGGCTACCGGCGACGCCGTTGTTAGGG